CCCCAACTTATAATACTATATTTTTATTTGAAGATATATTTTTACCATGCACAGGTGAATCTTCATCAGCAAACAGATTTGGTTCAATTTCTTTCAAGGAACTTCTACCTTCAAGCCGGGCAAGGAGCTTACAAAAGAAAAGACAGAAGGAAAATTCATTACAGCAGTCTGAGACATCTACATTTATACAAGTTTCTAAAACTCCGTAAGATTTCATAATTTTGAGGGTCTGGAAGGAAATATAAAACAAGAAATACAACTTCAGAGACATATCATGCTCACTTTTTCTCTATAATGCACCGAATACTGCTGCTATCAAATGAGTCTGTGCCCTTGAAGGACAGTCAACTGTAGGATACAGTGTGCGAATTGAAAAATGTTTCCATCAGCATAGCGTAAGACTGTCTTCCCTTGTGGCCAGGGAGATGGCTCAGTGGAATAAGCGCTTCCCTGGCAAGCGCAAGGACCTGAGTTCAATCCTCAGTTCCACCAAAAAAAAAAAAAAAAAAAGACTGTCTTTCCACCATACAGACTGCACCCTACCCAGTTCTCTGCTACAATCTGCCTGAGTCTACCTAGAGGGGAGGTGACAAAGGGACACTTGAGCAGTTGCCCAAGAAATTGAGGAGTGGCCTGGTACACAGGGCCTGGCACGTGGCTGAGGCCTGTGAGACAGACACAGTGAAAGCCATGCAGGCTGTGTGTGCAAACAGGGATGTCTGAGTGAGCTACATACAGACTAGCACTGGGCCTCAAACAGGCAGGGAAAAAAAAAACAAACCAAAACAGGCAGAGAACAGGGCCGTCTGCAGAGAGCAGAAATTAGAGCATGGAAGGCTCTTCAACACTACAGAAGCGAGGCTTTGGGTCACAGACAAGAGAAAGGTTCTGCAGCTGGGGTACTGGGGAGATGGCTCAGTAGAATGCCTGAGTTCAATCCCTGGTTCAGCCAAAAAAAAAAAAAAAAAAACAAAATAAAACAACAACAAAAAAAAAGGTTCTGCAGCTGGACAGTAGGAAGCAGTCACAAAACCAGCAGATGGACAGCAGACTCTGGAGCACCCCCTGCTAGGTCACCTCTCAGGCCTGGGAGTCTTCTCTGTGATGAGAACCCCTCCCCCCATGCTGAGGACCAAGTATGGAGCCACTGTGTAGGTACCAGCTGTTATTCTCTGCCCTCACAATGGGCTTCTTGGTGGCTCTTGAGACAGCACAGAGGAGGGAGACTGGGCAAGGACAGAAGGCTGGAATCTCACCCTGATCTGGAGGGCGAGTGCCTGCACTGCAGCGCCTGGAGTGCTGGGTGTAGGGAGCACTAAAGGTGACTTAAAAGTCAGCAAAGCAAATATAATCAAAGCTCATTTTCAAACTTCTAAGTCATCAGCACAGATTTGACAACAAATCTTCTAGAGCAAAGGAAAAACAGAGCATGTCACAAGTAACAAAAAAAGTCATTTAAAAGAAAAAGTCATTTTTTAACTTTCTTTTTTTAAAAATTGAAACAAACATTTGGAGAAAGATTTCCAGAAGCAATGAGAAGGTTCTAAGCGTGATTTTAACTGAGCCTTGTTGAAGTGCACCGTGCTCGAGGAAGTGCAAACAGAACTACAAATACCCACCCACATGTCTCCCTGTGCTGGACAGACAGGCGATGGGCCTGACAAGCTGAGCTCACACAACTCCACATCGCCAAACAGGACGAGCCGAGCCAAGTGAGAGAGCCAAGCACAACTGGAGACTCGGGGCAAACCCACATTTCAAACTGATCTCCAGGGCTGGCCAAATAGCTCAATCGCAGGGCCTGCTGGGCCGGCCCCGCCCCCAGGGCATGCTGAGCTGGCAATTGAGACTGGACTTGGTGGTGTGTGCCTGTAATCCCTGCTCTTGGGAGGCTGTAAACTGGCAGATCACTATGAGCCAATCTAGTAGTGAGACCCTGAACACCCTGTAGACCCTTCCCTAAAAATACAAAAGAGGGGCCGGGGTGATAGCTCAGTAGAATAAACACTTGCCTGGCAAGTGTAAGGGCCTGAGTTCAATCCTTGGTTCTGCCAAAAAAAAAAAAAAAAAGAAAGAAACAAATCAATCTCCAGAAAAATGTTTACATTACCATGACAGGGACCACCTTATTCAAGTGACATTTCCACTGAGGCTAGAAAAGCTGGGGTGGGAGAATCTGCTGGCACCCAGTGCAGCCAAGGCAAGGACCCACCATGCCCTCACTACCACACGCGTACCACAGACCTCAACTCTTTTTCCCTAGGAGTGCTTAGGAAATCAGAGGGACACTTGTGAAATAGCCCTTGGGAAGACACACCAGCATACTGTAGAGGTCTGGCCACTACTCCTAGCAGGTGATTTGTGAACTCTCCTACAGTCCTGCCTGATGAGTCATCTTTGGCCTTGGACCACAGCACTGCCTGAGAATGGGCCTTTGGACGCATGTGCTAGGCTGACTGCCCAGGACTGGAGGCTGAGGGCAGCGTGGTGGGCCACCAGGTCTTCAGGGCAGGGCCCCTGTCTCCTGAGAGCCCACCACTGTGTCACACACTGTTGCTGGGACAATTAGCCCATCCACGGCCTCCCTGCTGAGCACAGCTGGAAGCCCCCCTCGGGCCTGTGCTGGACACAGACCCACAGTGAACCTTCCACAGCTGATCTCTTCTCCAGCCTCCGCTGCTGTAACCACAAGAAGCTCAACAGTCTGCAGAGCCCTCGCAGCACTTCAGATGACCTGCTGGATTTCGCAGGGCCGTGGTAAGGCTCATATCGGGTGTCCCATGGATGGGCTGAGGGGTGCCCAGAAGGGTGGCAAAGCATCTTGGAGAGATCAGCACGAGACTCAGACTGAGAAAACATTGAGGGACCCTCCCCAGTCCAATCTCTCAAGGTTCAGAGCACAAGGACAAAGGCAAGGGTGGCTCCACGAGCTCACAGCAACCCCCAGTGCTCCTTGTCAAGGAGCCTGACTGATGCTGTCCACATAACTGTGAACTAGTATTTTCAAAGGACCAACACACAGTGTGAAATCATTCTTGAATAAAAGAGTTATGCAAAGTATAGGACAGACCAATAGATTCTAATGTATGAAAAGACCATTTTATATCCCACACTGCGATTAGAAAATCTGCTAAAAAAAAAAAAAAAATCTACTGCTCATTAAACTTTGGTATCGTATCCAAAAAGAACAGCCACAGTGATCTGGAATTTCTTTTCTTTTCTTTTTTTTGGTGGAACTGGGGATCGAACTCAGGCCCTTGAGCTTGCCAGGGAAGCGCTTATTCCACTGAGCCATTTCCCCAACCCCCAACCACAGTGATCTGAAAGGTTGCAATACTCCCCCTCCCCTTTCCAACTACCTGCCTCTGCAAGGGCAGATGCTTTCCGTGGACTTTAACTACAGACACAGGGAAAACCCAGTTGACTTCCATTAAGCCAAACATCAGCACAACTTAGGAACACCTAGGGGAATGCCCTCTGTCATGAGTTTACGGAAGGACTAATGCAGCTCATGGGTTCCGTAGCTGCAGTCCATGGTTGGCTGTTCCTGGGCAGAAAGATCACAAGGGTGGGTATAGCAGAGGCCAAAGCAGAGCAGGTGGAACAGTGCTGAAGGGGAAGGGGCCGGGAGGCAGAGATGGGCCTGCCTCCTTACTCACCTGGACACACCCAGGGATGGGTTGTGCTTATCTGCCTAGAATCTCTGAACCCAGTGGAGCACACAGCCACAGTTAGGGGTCACACTCCCAATGTCTGGAAGTTTCCACTCTGCCACACCTTCAGAGACATCATCCCCCAGCCTAATCAAGTATCAGGATGGCAAATGACCCGAGCAAACCAGCTTCAAGTCCTACCCAGGCAATGGGTTTCTCCCAACCTCTCGATCTCTTAGCTGAAGAGAGCCCCAAATGTTTTCAATAGCAGCACCACGACTGGATGAAGCATAAACTCTGCCACAGGGGTATGACAGCACCCAATTATACAGCTTTTCACGCCAGGTGACTGACTTAAGGCGAGTAAGATAGGTACTAGGAACGCAGAGATGTGGCACAGTTACTGTTTTCAAAGAATCCAATGGAGAATCAAAGGCTAAAAGAAAGTACAGTAGTGGCTGAGGTGGACTACATCTGTGACCCCAGTACTCGGGAGGCTGAGGCAGGAGGATTGTTGGGAGTTCTAGGCCAGCCTGGGCTACATGGTGAGCTCAAGGCCAGCCTGAACTGCATAATGAGATCCTGTCTCAGAAAAACAAAGCAAAGGGCAGGCCAAATAGCTCAGTGGATTCCCAGGCCTACTGTGCCAGCCCCACCCCGGGGGGCAAGCTGAGGCGGCAATTGAGACTGGGTGTGGTGGTGTGTGCCTGTAACCCCAGTTCTTGTGAGGATGTAAACAGGAGGATCACTACGAGTCTGATCTATGCAGTGAGATCCCGAACACTTTGTAGACCCTTCTCTAAAATAAAAAATAAAAAAATAAAATAAATGAGAGAGAGAGAGAGAGAGAGAGAGAGAGAGAGAGAGAGAGAGAGAGAGAGAGACAACACAACCAAAGTCAATAAAAGGTACAATAATAGGGAGCTAGCTATGGTAGCATTCTGGGAGAACAGGTCAGGAGGATCACAAGTCTGAGCCTATCCGATACTTACTGAAACCCTAACTTAAAATTTAAAACAATTTTAAAAAGAAGGCTAGGAGGTAACTCAGTATGAATTCCCTGAGTTCAATCTCCAGTACTGAAGAAAAAAGAGGCTAACTAGGAACTATAATGGAAATACACATGTGGCTGGGCACGGTGGTGCATGCCTATATTTCCAGCACTTGGTAGGCTGCGGCAGTAGCGGTTGCCGTGAGTTCAAGGCCAGCCTGAACTACATAGCAAGGCCCTTTTTCAAAAAATAAACAGAAATAGACATCAGGTACTCTGGTTCTAATCTGTGAGAGGCGTCTTTAATTTTGAATGAGATTCAATACATACCGCAATTTTCTCAGGCACATACAACAGCCTGCACTTACAAGTTTCAGTAGATCTACCAAGGTCCAAATTAATGAACAGAAAATTCTAGTAATAAAAACAATTTATGTATTTTAAACTGTGCACTGTTCTAAGCAATGTGATGAAATCTCCCTG